CGCTTGTTGCCATGGCCCTGCAAGGCTGAGAGGCAAAGGATTCAGGTATCACGGGCTTCTGGCCGCACTGTTGCTCCACACTGATAACAGAAGGCTTGGTTATGGGAGAGGCACTGGTCGCTGGTGTGACTGAGCAGGCAGCTGTATTTGCCATGACAGTCCTTGGTTTGGAGTAAGTGACTTGTGAGGAGAGAAGCATAGCAGCTGACATCTCAACAAAGTCAGGGCTGTGCGGAGGGGTCATGCACTGGAAAAAAAGAAATCACCATTATACAGCAGTGTAATTTCACAGCACAATTTTTCACTACCTTTACTGTGAAAAACAAAATTACACCCCCTCCCCAGAATCTCAGAACCAGCTTCTTGGGACAAACTAATTAAAGCATAGATTGCCTCATCTGATGGCCATTCTGAATGCTCGAAAGCATAATAATAAAGACAAGGCAACGAGGCAGATGAAAATATGCATAAAACACTGCATGTCTCCTCACTGCTCCACAAAAAGTTCTCTCATTCCCTTCTCCCCAGCAATGGGTGCTGCTATAAGAGGCTAAGAGCACACTGCTGTTAACAGAACACAAACTAGCAACAGAGAGCAATACTGTACCATTTCAGTTTTAAGCTTCCAGCAAGTCCTAGATCTTGTCAATTACTACCCAATCAGTTGGTGGCAAGTTCTGAAACAAAAATAAGTGGAACTCCTCTCTCTCTTCTTATTCCTATACTTCCCTCTAAGCTCTCTTGCTGCCACCATCTATCCTTCATCCTGTATCACCGAAAACTCATGCCTGTCTCTTCTGCTGCTCAAAAGACAGTGCCAAAGCTGAGCAGCAGAGTATGACAGAAGTCCATTGACCAGCTGCCATGCTGTCTCAGCCTCTTTCCTCTATTATTCCCCTTTTTCCTCAGAGAACTGCATAATAGAAGCCTATTGGTTCAAATGGGCCTTAACCATCAGAAACCTGAATGGGACAAAGCCCTTTTTTAGTACCTACTTTCATTGCAACATAAATTGCAACCAAAAAATCCGTAATTCAACTGACAGTCAGCCAGAATAGCCTGATGCTCTGGAGAAATAACAGACTATGTGTACAAATGTATAGAGTAAAAACTAATTAAACTGTCTATTTCATAATGTTAACCTGTATCCAGAGTGAAGCCAAATGTCATCAAGAGCTTTTTTGACATAGTGCTTGCAGATAAGTCAGTGCAAACAGCTGGGGTTCATTTTGCCATTCTTACTCAAATTGCTCCAGGAAACCTACAACATCCATTCAGACAGCATCCCCAGCACACCTGTCAAATTAAATAACCTGTCAGCAAGAGCTTTCACACTGAGATTTAATGAGGACTCAAATCCCTACACTTGCAGTTTCAGAGACAGCAGAAAATCCCAAACTCAACACGCCCACCTGACTATTCTATGTACAGCACTGGCTGTACGGCACGTGAGCAAGACATCTTTTCCAGCCACCTTGTAACACCACAGAGATGTAACACCCAGATGCTAGGCATATTAATTTTGCATTCATGTTTTTCTCACCAGTGTAGATAAGTAGTCCTTTGGTAATTCAGACGTAGCCTCAGCGTGCATTGTGAAATCACCCGAATCCGAGAAGGGCGTAAGTGGCCTTATCTTTAACATGTCACCTTTCTGTGATCTTTGACCCCAGGAGCTCATGCAAACAAGTGCTTCAACAGCTTCAATGTCGTTCTGCTCCAAGGTGCTGCAGGTGGACCTTTCGCTGTCATGACGCTGCCTTTCACGGATAGACTCATAGATGTCCACAATGTCAACCTAAATGCAAGTGGATTACTGGCTGTTAGGACAAGTCAGGACACAAAGCGGACACCACCTACGTACTGTCTGCTCACCATGAAGGTCACCTGAAAAAGATACCAGGGCCTGCAGCCAGGCTTCTACCAACCAGCTCAACTCCTTCCCTCCCCCACCAGCTCATCTCCCGACCCCTCCTACTCTTTTTTAAGAAAAAATAAAAAATAAATAAAACTGTGATTTGCAGAAAAGAACAGGTATGTGTGTAACTCACACTCCCAGAGTTACTTTCCTGGATTACACTGCTCTGAATAAACACATCCCACGCCTGCACACAAGCAAAAAGAGGAAAAGAATCCCAACTTCCAACCTTGTTTAGACAAGGCTGTTTCCTGGGCCTGAAAGACAACTGCTATGCAGCACTAATCCGGGTAACATTCAGAAGGTAAATTTCAGTTGACAGCAAGATGCTTTACATTATGACCACCAATTCAGAGCACCACACCATGCAAAAGCGTTTTAATCTTGTTTTTACCAACAGAGAAGCCAGGGTGTGAGGAAGGAGGGAAAACAGTATTTCAAGTACTGTGGAATTGCTTGTATTGTGCTTTATACTGCGTAAGTGCCAGGTATCCCCAGAGGCACCGAACAGCATGAAGACAAATGTAATCACACTGATTTGTTGCCCACTGCAAGCATCACAGAAAACTTGAGCATGTGCATACAAACACATAAACCTCAACTTCTCTGTGAAAGGATACACAAACTTTACAAAGCTCTGAACAGTGCTTAGCAGTGACTCCAACAGGGATGTTATGCTGCTGGTTTATTGCTCACAAACCAGCTCGGTCCCAGCTATGTATTCCCTTTTCCAGTCCTTAGGCAGCCAAGTACCTGTTAAGGCTGGGATTAAGAGGCATGGATCAAGATTCTTCAGCCTAACGCTGCCACGAGGACTGCTTATATACTGCAGCCAAAGGGATTTAAATAACAAAGCAACAGGAAGCATCCCACACCGTTACCACTGCCTAAAGCCCTAGAGGGAACTGTACTTGTTGGGTGACATCACTTACACACCTACATCAGTATGTTTTGCTCCTGAGCCTTGTTAAGCAAAGCAGACTGATCCTGGCTCACCAGTGTCACGAGATGCAAAGCTCTGTGACACTGTCTCCCCTACAGGGATGTGCATGGCAAACACGTTAGACAAAATGGACCCAAAAGGCCAGTATTGCACTCGCAGAGAACTTCTGCCCACAAGAGGTACCATGGATGGAGATGTCAAGATGTGGGGCAGGAAGGGCTTAAAGCACTGCAGAGCGATTTTTAAACTGAAAGAGGGTAGATTTAGATTAGATATTAGGAAAGACTTCTGTCCTGTGAGGGTGGAACAGTTTGTCTGGAGATGTTGTAGGTGCCCCCTCCCTAATATTTTCAAGACCAGGCTGGACAGGGCTCTGAGCAACCCGGGCTGGCGGGAGGTGTCCCTGCCCATGGCACCGGGGGGTTGGAACTAGATGATCTGTAAGGTCCCTTCCAACCCAAATCGTTCCATCGTTCTGCGAACTGCTCTGAGAGAGACTTCGAGGGACTCCCACTGAACACACGGGGCAGCGAGGCCCGGGGGCAGGGCCCAGTGCTGCTGCCAGCACAGACCCGGACCGCCTGCCAGGCAGGAGCCGCGCCGGGCGGGCCCCGCTCCGGGCAGCCCGCAAAGCCCTCCAAGCGGGACCGCACGCAGCCCAGCTGCGTTTCAAGGAGAGCAGTCTCCCCTAACAAAACACGGATTAAAATAAATAAAATAAGATATTCCTCGCTCCAAAGAGAAACCCCAACCCCCAGGAAAGCCCCTCCGCGCCGCAGACGGGGCTCTC